ACGTTCACGTGATCTTCGGTTGCATCCGCATGACATAATTTAACCATGGGTTTTCGCGACTCGCTTTTCAATTTAAAGTCCGCGGTGGTGCATGCGAAAGTGCGCGCGTAAATGATCTAAAGCGGCGAACGCGGAGCCTTCAGTTTGCTGTCGTTGCCCGTTCATTCTGCGTTCCTGTAGTTGCTCATTGCATCCGCAGATGATGACATTTTTACAGTTGGCTTTCGTGAATCGTTTTTTTCCATTTAACATTGCACTGTGTACAAAGCGCGCACGCATCACGCAAACGCGCGCGAACTTGTTTTTGCATGCATTTGTAGGTACGCAAAAATGATATGAGCCCTTTGGCATCTAAGGAATGGCATGGCACCCTGGGTTTTCGCAATGCCTCTTTCTAGTTAACGTCGCGACGTCGCGTGCGCAAAAAAACAGACATTAAACTTGCGCGCGCTAAATGCAGGCTTTCTGTTTCTTGATACACCAGTTGATATATATATATATATATATATATATATATATATATATATATATATATATATATTGTCGCCTATTGCGCACCGAGACTGCAATTTTACATGGGGTTTTCGCAATTCGTTTTTTTTCTTTTCCCCAACTAACTGGAGGAATTTGTCCGCGCAAGAAAACGCCCGCACAAATGAAACCCGCTCGCGCGAGATGCATGACGTTGAGCTTGTAATATAGTTACGTGATTGCCCCTTTGACACAGAAAAAAAAGTTTTACATTGCGTTTTCTGAATTCGTTGTTCGATTTAACTTTGCGGCGCTGCATGCAAAACGCACATGCGCTACGGAAGCTCGCGCGCGCGAGCTTCAGCAGGCATGCGCTCGAAAGACGCACCCAGCGTTTACATGAGTGTTTCGCGCAACCTGAAAATGACATCGAACACTTTGTTATCTTGTTTTTTGGGGGAAAGGGGGGGGGGGGGGGGGGGGGGGGGGGGGGTGGGGGGGGGGGGGGGGGGGGGGGCACTTCGCGGCGCTGTTGTCGGCGCTTCCAGTGCGATTGTCGCCGTGTTAACTCGTAACTGTGCAATGTACACTAACGCGTGTTACTAGCAACTCCTAGGCTATATGCGCGTTTCATTTCGCGCACAACACAGGCTAGTCAACAAATAGTAGCCACAGGCGGTGGCCCCGTTCCTTTGCACGCGCAGTGTAGAATAGCCAGCTGAGGATAGCATGCCAGCAGGGAACCGCTCAGCATCACATCGAGGGCCCACGGGGGCCCAAGGAGGCGCGCCCAGGAGCCTAGTCGCCCAAGGGATGGGTCTCAGTGACCTTGCTTTGTAGCAGTTCTGGCTCGAGCATTTGCCCAGTCGGAGCTGGAAGTGTCTCCATCCACGGGAATGCCGAGGACTAGGAAGAGCTTGCACGGCAAGACAGAAGCGCACGTATACCGCATGAGCTCCGACCAAGTTCTCCTGCCCCACGAGCTCGCGCGCAAGGTTTCGGAGGTAACAGATGCCGACTTCGTCGCGGCAGTTGCGATGCTCCAGGCTTTGGGAACAGTGTTCATGACAGAGCTCAACGCAAAGGGGCGCGCGATGCTGCCCAAAGTGGGAACGTCCGTCGTGAAACACAAAGCCGAACAACCTGGCAAAATGAACAGAGTGTGCGGAACATGGAGGGCGGTGAAACCGCGCCCACCAGAAGCACGCGCTGAATTCTGAGCGTTTGGCGACGTGGAAGAATTGCTGGCTGTGCGGCCACCAACCCCAGCAAATGCAGCAGCTCCAGCATCCACCGCCGATCCAGAGCCAGCACCAGAGGATGTCCGACCACGCCGTCATGAGGGGGCGGATGCGTCGAGCTCGTCTGAGTCAGGTTCGCCCGTGACGTTGCATTCATAGCAGCGCAGTCCAGTGAAGCCCGTTCGCGCCAGATGGCAGGTTAGCCATCGCATCGTTTGCGACAGTCCATTGCAGCTCGTTTGCACCAGTCCAGTGTAGCTCGTTTGCACCAGAGCCTAGCTAGCCATCGCATTTTAGCAACGCAGCGTGTTCATAGAGTGCTTGCCTGCAGGATTCGTTTCATATCGGCGTGCGCTTGCCTGCAGCACTCGTGTCATATATTGGTGGCGCTTGCCGTGCCACCAGCGTTTCATATCATGCGGGTGCTTGCCAACGGCACTCGTTTCAGATCCTCACGGTGCTTGCCAACAGCACTCGCTTCACATTGATAGGCTGCCTGCTCTCCATCTTTAGGCTGCCAGCTGCAGTCGCTTCATATCACTAGGCTGCCAGCATCAGTCGTTCCATACCATTTGGCATCAGCTGGAGCCAATGCTCTGGTCAATGTTTGCGCTCGCGTTGGGAGTGCTGCCAAAAAACAGGAGACAACTTTGGGCCAAGTCGCATTCAGTGTTCTGCAGCTTGAGGAGCGCGGGGGGGGGGGGGGGGGGGGGGGGGGGGGGGAGGGGAAGGATGATGATGATGAGGAGGAGGAGGATGAGGAGGAGGACGATGAGGATGAGGACGAGGATGAGGAGGATGAGGAGAATTAGGGGCAAGGCGAGGAGGATGAGGAACATTACGAACGCTTGGCAAAACGACAATACGCGTTTCGTCTGAGACATCCTGCCACAATTGCCTCTGGGAGCCCTCTCCCAAGACAGCCGAAGTCGGTCCAGAGAGGCCCCCAGGACAGCCCACGACGACCCCAACGGCCCAGGACAGCCACGAGGACCCCAAGGAGGCCGCCAAGATGACCCCAAAGGCCCAAAGGCCTCCCCCGTCGTCCTCCTCCTCCCCCCCCCCATCGCCCTGCGACTGTTGCCACTGCTCTTTCCATTTTCTTCTTATCCCCTCTCCTCCTCTTCCCTCCTCTTCGACCCCTCCTTCCTCCTGCTCCAGGTTTCGCCTCTTCTTTGTCATCATCGCCCTGCTTCTTATTCCTCTTCTCGTGCTCCTTCGATTCTTCGTCCTCGCTCTCCTGCTGCTGCTTCGGGGATGCCGAAGCTCGTCGCTCGTAACCATTTTGGTCATCAGCGGCTGCCACCTTTTGTGGCTACTCACGTCACTGAGTACGTTTCTATTGTTTACTTCATCGATGGGGCCTCCAGACAGAAAGGTCGACGCGACCGCGCTCATTCTGCCTGATGTTCGCGAGGAGGCCGCAACCCAGGACTTCGGCCCGCTGGAGGCGCTCGAGTTCTTTCCAAGCGGCGACGGTGACACCCTGGATGCGGCGACGCAGGCAGAATCGTTGGCGGATTCGCAGGTTGCCGCCGAGGACACGGTTCCAGCTGACGTGGTCAAGCATCGCCAGAAACAGCGAGCAGAGCTCACGAGGACGGAGGACGCTACGCCCACCACCAGGACTTCCGCGGCGAGTTCGGCGGCATCAGGCTCCACAGCAGCCAGTGCTGGCGCCGCCCCAGTCGCTATCCCGAAAGCGATGGCCACGAGGAGTTTCGCCGAGGAGGCCAGAGAACTCCAGGATGACCTGATCAGAATGCAGCAGCGCGCGAAGGTCGCCTGCGAGGAAGCGGCGAGGAGGATCCGCGGCCAATCAGCAGCTGCTGCAGTTGCAGCAGTGCCGCCGCGGCCGATGACAGGCAGCAGCGGGTCTAATAGGAGCGGTGCCAGCGGTGCTGCTGCGGCCGCTCCGCGCTCGCGGTCGCCGCCCATGCCGCCGCGCTGCGTCAGGACAAAGGCGGTCTCGGACAAGCTTCTGTTGACGGCGAGCTCCCAGTGGTTCGGCTGGTCCGAGGTCCCGACTGGGATCAAGCAGTGCTTCTCCGACAAGCTTGGTGAGAAGTTCCCAGTGCGGCTCCACGAGCTTCCAGAGTCAACGACCAGCTACAAAGTTACTTTCGAGGTGGAGTGTGGTTCCTCGTCCTCGTCTCTGACGGCGCCGCAGCCATGGTGACATCGCATTGGATATCAATCGTGAGCCCGCGTCTGGCGGCGGATCTGTCCTTTTGCAGCTTCAGCATCATCGAGCGGCATCGGTGATAGCTCATCTTCTTTGTGGTTGTGTCGCGCGGCGACGCTTGATGGCCACGTCAAGGCTGCGTTGAAATCGCGAGGTTCGCTCTGAGGTCGGAAACGTGTCTCTCCCTCCCTCCTGCTCCTGAACCAAACGATCCCTACCAGTCAGCGCATTCTGTTGATGCACGGGACCCCTACCAGACAGCACGATCACCCAAACCAAACGCGGGCCAGCAGCGCCCGAACAGTTTCTAGCAGCAGTGCGTTCCCACCAAACATTGGAGCAACCCTACCAGACAGCAAAGCCACAGCAACCTTTCAAACACTACCCGCCAACATAAAGCCTACCAGTCGCCAGCATCAAGGGTTTGAAATCTCGTGCGGCGCAAGCCATGCCTGCCAGTAGTTGGCCCGAGGGCCTGAGGGCTTGGGAACCCCGTGGCGTCGACAGGGAACTTAGCCAACAATGAGCCTGAAGGATTAAGATTCGCGTGGGGGCGCAAGCAATGAGGACCCCCCCCCCCCCCACCCCCTCCCCCCCCCCCCCCCCCCCCCAAGGCAAAACACGTTGGCACAATGACATATCCAGCGGCCCAGCTCCATCGTGAGCCATCCCCCAACATCCCAAATTTTGGCTCAAGCCTTTCTGGTGGCTCCATTGGAGCTGGCGCACAGTGCGCAACCACGCCCTTTTTTTGCGAGGTCGGGATTCATGTCCGTGGCGGCCTCGCAAGACGAGGACATTTTCGGAGAAGAAGCTTCCAGTGCTCTCCCGTGCTACCAGCGCGGCCTGTGCGATGAGGATATTCAGAATGGGGATCAGAAGTCTTGGAGGAACATGATGCTCCACGGGCGTTGCTTCAACGCTGTGCGTGCCCACAACTACTGCCACGAGAGTGCTCCGCCTCACGTGATCGAGCAAGTGGAACATGACTTGGGGCACAACCGTCCAGCTTGGCAAAATCGGGTGAAGCCTTGGATCGATCCTTCGAAGAAGCGAGGGGCACCGCCAGAGAGAGTACCAAGAAGATCTTCTCCGTGACCGAGGTGAAATCGAAAATTACGGACAAAGCGATCAATGATGATATCACCGTGTCTTTGGTTGAATTCATGGCGTTCGAGGGTTTTTGGCACAGGAATACGGACCAGCAGTGCCACACTGAGTTCGCCGCGATCCACGAGCAGCAGAGGGGCCGTTGCGATGAGAAGACTGTGGTGGGCGGTGTGACGCAGGTTTTTTCAGAAGATCGCTATCAAGGACATCGGTCGCATCAGGAGGTCGAAGGGCGAGACCACGTCCCATTCCACCCTCACCGTGGACGAGGAGAAGTCGGAGCTCGATGCGGAGGTGAAGCGCAGGCGCATCATGACGAAGACGCCGAGCATGTTGGATGATACCCGTGGGAGGCCATCGCATGTGCCGACCGATACCTGCTCATCCGAACACTTCTTGACTTTCGGCGAATCCCGCTCCAGGGGCAGCAGCGTCGACACCTTGGCAGCCTCCACGCTCGGTTTGGCAACATCTCCGCGTGAAGCGGTTGGCGGGGCTGAAACTCCAGACGCTTCCAGGGGGGCCGCGAAGTCGAAGAAGGGGACTTCGGAGAGGGGCGGCAAGCAGAAGCTGTTCAACCCCAAGGCCGGGCTCAACATTGACGACGCCACCAGGGAGCGCGTGTTGCCAGTGAAGGACGACATCGGCAAGATGGAGCCCGTCTTGTTCATGGAGCTGAAGCGGCACTGGTCTGAGATGGCTGCTCACGTGCACTCGGGTTTCATGGCTACTGGGTCAGGTGTAGTGCACCAGCTCAGGTCCGCAAGCAACGTCGTGGGCACAGTGGCGCAGAGTGACCTCGACGTACCGACCGAGAAGCTCATCACCGACGTACCGACCTGGCGCAGCGCATCAATGAAGATATCGACAGGCTCGGCGCCGACTGCAACAAGACTACGTTCGCTGAGGTCGTCGAGAGGCTCCACGGCAACATGACCACCATCGAGAACACGAAGAAGAAAGTGCACGCGCAGTTGGATGGCCTCCGCTACCTCACCGAGAAGGGCGGCCACGGCAGGGCGATCGAGTACATGAGCCACTGCAACAAGCGCGTGAAGATTCAGCGGAGGCTCATGAAGGCCAGCTTCTCGAAGGAGTTCGCGGACAACGTCTCCAGGGCGCTCTACGCCCAGCGGGGCGATGCAGAGTACAAGTCGCTGACGGCCGAGACCGAGAAGAGCAAGGGCGGAAAAGCTAAGAAGCCTCTGTTGTTCAATGCGACCGTGGAGAAGAACTGCGGCTTCGACGCGGCGAAGGCCATCTTGTGGGACGATTCGGACTCAGCTGAGCTCAAGATGATCAACAGAATGATCGACGCCAACGTTGATGCTATCAACGCGAAGGTGGAGATCCACACCAACAGCTTCACGACGAGGGGCCAGAACTGGCTGGGCTGCCAGGGCCGCGTCGCGGCCGACTGGGTGCAGACGGAGACCGATTTCGGCATCGACGACTTCGTGGACTTCTGCAAAGGTGGGTTCTCGCCGTGGCTGGTGTCGGTCAGAGTGGACGCGCCAAGGTGGGGGCCATCTTCCATGCCCCTCATGGGGCTCGAGTGCACGATCGTGGCGATGAGCTCGGACCTCTACGCGATGCTTCACCAGGCCAGCAGCGTCCTCTCGTGCGGGGTCTCGCTGAAAGACTACTTGAAGTTCATGGAGACGGACGAAGCCCAGTGCAGCTTGAAAGAATCGATGCTCGTCCGTCTCCAGGTGAAGCAGCGCTCCACGCGCCAGCTGGCGTCTGCGCGATGCCCCTCTACTGCCCCGTGGAGGCCGTGAATTCCAAGGTGGTGTCGCTCGGGCACTTCGTGGTGCTCCCGATGGTGAGCGCGAGCGCGATCGCCAAGGCTGCGAATCACAAATCCTCTTCCTGCTGCTGCTGCGGCCCCTCCTCCTCCTTCATGCTCCTGCTCCTGCTCCTCCGTCCTCCCTCCTCTTCCAGTCCTCTCCTCCTCTTCCTCCCCAATGCACCTGCGCCCCTCCACCCCCCCCAGCTCCTCGCCCTCCCATCGCCGCCCCCCCCCCCCCCCCCGACGCGGGGGGGAATGAAGAGCCAGCCGTAGGAGGCCTGGGACGAATAGGGGCGGTGGAATGCTGAGGATGCCAATGAGAAGGATGGCAAGGTCAACGTGGAGACAGCATAGACGAGCGAGGAGGGCAAGGGAAGAACGGAGGATGAGGAGGGACAGGAGGACCAGGAGAAGTAGGAATGAACAAGGTGAGGATGCATATCATGAAGGATGGTTGCGGTGGTGATGATGATCATGCCGACGGCGGGAGGTCGCGGAAGATCCAACGATGAGGCCACGGGTAATACGCAAGATGACAATGCGAACGATACGAGTGATGCCAATGACGACCATTCATTGATATCTTCCTCGTCGCATTCATGAATGCGATGAGGAAGGCATCGATGAATCTACCAATGAAGATGGTGATTATTGCCGCATGATGATGACGATGAGTTTGTCGATGGTATTGGTGATGACGGTGCGGGTGGAGGTATGGATGGACACGCCGCGATTGATTGAATGATGATGCCGATGTGGCAACGCCAATGGCACGAATGACGATGACGACAGTTCGATGATGAGGGTGATGACGAGATGGATGTCCCTGGGGATGTTCAGGGACAATGGGGGATGAGGGGGGGAGAGGGAGGGAGAGGGGGGGGATGGGGGCTGGTGAAGAGGGAGAGAGGCCCACCGATGTACCGACCTTGCCACCCCCCAGGCTACTACGAAGGAGGTCGTGAAGGCGGCGGTCGGCGCCGATGCCGACTACCTCGCTTCGATCCCGACGTCGGGCATGCACAGGGAGAGGGCCGCGGCCCTCTCGAGGTTCGTCGCGGCGGCGGCCATCGGAGGCCCGCGCTGCGCGGCGCAGCACGAGGAGGAGGAGGGGGGGGGGGTGGGGGTGGGGGGGGGGGGGGGGAGGAGGAGGGGGGGGAGGGAGGAGGAGGGGGAGGAGAGGAGGAGGAGGAGGAGGAGGAGGAGGAGGAGGAGGAGGAGAAAGAGGAGGAGGGAGGAGGAGGAGGGAGGAGGAGCCTCTCTGCGAGCGGGCCCTGGACGGCAGGGCGGCGAACTCTCGGCGGGGGGCCCAGGAGAACACTTCGCAACTCCTCATTGTGGGTTGCCTCCTCCTCTTGCTCGTCCTAATCGTCTTCGCCGCCATCCTCCTCCTCCTGCTTTTCCCGCCTCCTCTTCTTACCCCTTGTTACAAATGTGGCGCAACCGGCGTCGACGTCGACTTGCCGCCCCCTTCCACCCGCGCGCCGCTGGGGGAATGTGCCGGCAGTGGGGGGGGGGCAACCGTTCAAACAATACCGAGCGTGTCTGCTCTCCCTCCGTGGTCCTCTTCCTCGCCCTCCCCCCTCTTCCCCACTCCTCCTTTCCTCGCTCTTTCTACTGCTCTTTCTCAACCTCTACTCTCCTTCGCGCCTTCTTTCCTAACTCCTTTCCACCCCCTCTCTCTGTTGCCATTTTGGCTCAAAGCTTAAGGCTCAAATATTCACTACCGTTGGGTTCGTGAACCCAACCGTTGTTAGTTTCTCGGCTGCTACGGGCCGAGGTCAAGGTTGCTCTTGACTTGTGGCCCATTTACAAACATGGCTGGCAGCCTTGTTGGGCCGATCACATTCAAGCTCATGTCGTTCAAAAACGACAAGATCGCATAAACGACGGATCTGAAACCACGCGCCTGGGAAGGCGGGCGACAACTAAGCATAAACGACCGCCAAGTTCCCAGCAGAGCATTCCATTGACGGGGGAGCGCCCTTGCAGTATCCATGCCCCACCGCCTAGTTCCCAGCAAAGCATTCCATTGACGGGGGGGTACCCTTAACCCGCAAGGTTGGCTTGGAGAGTGCCTAGCCACTGTCGACTGGACGCGGCCTGCGCTTGCGGGCTTAATACCAGACCAACGCGATCTCCACGACGGCGGCGACGAAGAAGTATACGCCCAGCCACATCTGCCTCAACAGTGACAAAGAGATGATTTCACCCCGCCTTGTCTGCTTGCTCTGGTAATGTTGGGGAGACTCAAGCTCTCGTCGGGCCTGCAGCAATGGTGGAAGAAGTGGACCGAGAAACGTAAACAGACCAGCCCGGGAACATTGCTCGCTCTAGCGGTTCGCGACAAAGGTGCGCTGCAACCTGTTGCCCCTCTAGCCGATTGGTTAGAGCGCTCCGGCTGGGGCGGGAGGGAGCTCGTTCAGGCGCGAGCCAACCTGTGGCTCCGTAGATGGAACCTCGAGATGGCCCAGAAACGCGCCAGCGCCCTCACCCCGTCTGAACGGGGACCAGGTGCCGAGCGACAGGCCCTCGCAGCCCATTTCAAGACTGGCAGGGACAATTTTCAGAAACTGCACAACGTTACCGGCATCTGGGACAATGGCGGCAATTGGACCGAGAAGCACGCCGAAGTTGACCAAATCCTGATCGATGGCCGTCCCTTCTGGATGGCAGCCCCAGACCTTCCACCCTGCGCCGACGATCTTCTCGACAGCTACTTCAGGGAAGGAAAGTCCATGGCCCTTGACCGCGCGCCGACCCCTTGATGGGGGCGGCGCTAAGCTCCTGCGCGCAGCACGCCAGGCGTGGACGGAGAGCCCCCTGAAGTTTACCACGCAGGCGCAATATTCATTGCCTGCCTGATTGCACATGGGTGGTACGTTGCTGACCAGAGTCCACACAACATTACTGCCGTACTTGGTCCCTCGGTTGGCCTTCTCGCGTGGATAGGAAAGAAGCCAGGCGCTGAACTACCAATTCACATGCGACCACGGCAGTTGCCACATTGAACCCGTCGGAGCCACCTGAGCCGGCCTGCTTGGGCCCCAGGTTGAGCTGCTGCTCCCCCAGGATCAGGCGGCCGAAAAAGGCGGACAATGCGGGCCGAACATCAGAACAGCCACAGAGCATCTCGGCCGAGACCCACACCCAGTGCCCCCGCCACACGACACTTGGGAAAGAATGCTCGGCTGACGCTGCACGGCAACAGAGGGGTACATGCAGGAATGTACGGCAGAGCTCGCGCCCGCACCGAGCACAGCAGTCATTTTCTGCGAACAAAATATAGCTTTCGACCGCCTCTCCATCCAATGGTTCGGTAGGTTGCTCCAGCGGTGGGGCCTCCCCGCATGGATGCGTCATGCGCTCGCTGCCCTGTTTGCTGACCGTGGCGCGCACATGAACAAAGCGAAATATCGCGGCCCCAAACGCAAGTTGATGCGTTCAGTAGGCATGGGGGGGACTGCGTTTCCTCCCTTATGGTGCATTGGCGACGACCCCATCATCCGAGCCGTCTCCGATGTCACCAGAGACAGCTGCCCCACCTATGTGAACGACCTCGCCTCCCTTCTCCAGGATGCGGCGCAGACACTCAGGGCTACGATGGCTCTTACATGGGCCTCGAGAGCTGCTGGGCTACTTGTCAACTGCCACGCATGCTGCGGGGTTGAAGTGCAAGGGAATACAAGCGTACTATGGCAGCTCCTTGACGGCGCGCCTGTAGATCTGGAGCGCACACCGGGAGGCACGCCCGACTGCGCGCGGATCACCGGGCTCCCAGTCGGGCTACTCTGTCAGATCATCACAACTCATCGCAACCAGCCTGGGCGACGCGCGCGCCTGCTCCCCCTGGCAGACTGCATGCCGATGCAAGTTCAAGACTGCCGTAGCACCCGCTGGCCACCACTCCTGGTGGGAACAAGTGCTCGACGATTCCCCGTTTGGCAGCAGCTGCGTGCAGCCAACGTGGCCATATCTGGGCGCATGCATCGTCTCGAGGAGCCTGGGAGGATCCATGCCGCCCCACGGTCGGTTCACACCGGAGCAAGCCGCAGCGCTCATCCAAGGCACATGGCAAACAGCTCTCTCCCAAATCCGCACTCGCAGCACCACCCTCCGCCTCGCCAACCTCTCTCCCGCGAGCGCTGCTGCTGCCTGGAATTCGTACATTGCGTCCGTCACTCCGTACCCTGCGCACTGCTTTTCACTAGATGACCGCATCGAGCGGGACCTACGTGCGCAACTCCGGGTCAGTTTCGGGATGGCCGGTGCCACCTGGATCCGCGATTTCATATTCACCGGGACTGGGATTTTCTTCCAGGTACCCGGGTCACCCAAGTGTCCGGCCGCGCTGGCGCTCGCGGTGGCAGTACGCGGGCACGTCACGAATGACATCTGCGGCCCTACACCAGCGCAGAGACGGGCTCGGCTCCGCTGGCTCTCGTCATGACAACAGGCAAGGCCGGTGCTGTGATTCTACAAGTGCACGACAACCCAGCCTTCCGCCACGGCCAAAAATGTTGCGCGGGCGGTTTACACTGCTGCCTGGCACCAGCTACACGGACTCCCGATGCAGAAATGGCTCAGGCAAACCAGCGCAGACCGCAGGTGGGCAGCCGGCATCGGTGTCGAATGGAATCTACTTCGCCGCGCCCCTTCCTTCACGGCTGCGGTCCACGTGCTTCGCATCCTTTCCAGCGGGATGCCAGGATCAGCGAGACGAAGGGGCGCCGCAGACAGACTCACGCACGTCTCCTGCAGCTGCCACCAAACAGCGCACAGGATTTGGCACGCCGCCAGCTCCCAGCAACGCGGCCACGCCTGGTGTCACTCTTGCCTCGGATAATGGTCCAACCAGATCGCCTTCTGGGCCGCGCTCCCGAACGAAGTGCTACCGTTGGAGCTCCACCGGGCAGCGCG